AACCTCGGCCACTAGGCTACCATGCTGGGCCCTAGAGCTATTGTTATCTTTACTTAATAGACAGAAAAACGAAGACCCAGAGAGATCAATGACTTCTGAATGGTCATACCAATGCTGATACATGAAAAAAAATGAGGTAATTTACTTTAATCCTACAATTTTAACCACTAAACTCTGCTGCCTCCCAATATTAAGTGATTATTAAATATTTACTCCCATCACAGTGACCAACAAAATTTGCTGAAATAGTTAGCAAGTAGATATTTTCTAGAGTATTTGTTACTGTATCTAAGTAGAAAATCTTATCATAGGTCAAAGAAGTGGAATCTTATTTTACAAATAAATTTAGTGGATTTAAGAATTTTTCCAGATTCCGCCTATGCAGAGAATTATGAAAACAAGGTATATATTAAGGAAGGCAATTCAAAACAGGTTCCAACATATGATAATGTATATCATTTATATATGAATTTTAATTGCAACAATAACATGATATTGGTGCAAATGGATTACTTCATCTAATATATACACCATTACCTACTTTTGAATCTTTTACTCAGAGGAAAAACAAGAGTGTATAAGGGTTGGTTTATAAAATAGTGTGAAGTCTTATGGACATTCTTAAAATCATGTATTAAAATATATAGCTTCCATATTTTAAGATTTAGGATCACACTCAAGGGCCTGGTGAAATGGCTCAGTGGCTAAGTTTTTGCCTTGCACGCAACAGGATCCCATATGGGCGCTGGTTTGTGTCCTGCCTGGTCCACTTCCCATCCAGTTCCCTGCTTGTGGCCTGGGAAAGCAGTGGAGGACGGCCCAAAGCCTTGGGAACCCTGCACCTGGGTGGGAGACCTAATAAAAGCTCCTGACTCCTGGCTTTGGATAGGCTCAGTTCTGGTTGTTGTGGTCGCTTGGAGAGTGAATTTCAGATGGAAGATCTTTGTCTCTCCTTCTCTCTGTAAATCTGCATTTTCAACTAAAATAAAATAAGTATTTTTTAAAAATATGATTGTACTTAATCACAATATAAAATATAAAATGTAAATTAACATTTTTGACATTAACCTCCAAGCTCACATTGAGTAAAAAGCTAACTTCACAGCAGCAAACAATGCCTGAATGGAATAGAATTCTTCCGTAGGGTGGTCCGGTGTCCATGTAAAGGAAGGTGGAGCTGCATTCAGGTGGCAGTAGAGACATTCGCCGGGCCCTGCCATACAGTAGGAAATTCCTTGCGGCCCTGCCTGCAGTGGACCAATACTCTTTACACCTCCGTGTCTCCCGCATCCACTGCACGGACCCCAGCAGTGAGTAATGCCTGCATCCCATATCAAAGATGCCTGTTTGAGTTCTCAGCACTGCTGCTGATCCAGCTTCCTGCCAACGTGCCTGGAAAAGCAACAGAGGATAAACAAAGTGCTTGAGTCTCTGCCACCCTCCTGGGAGGCCAGGCTGGAATTCCTGGTTCCTAGTGCCAGCCTGTTTCAGTCCTGTTGTTTTAGGCATTTGGTGAGTGAAGTCACTCTGCTTTTCAAATATGTAAATATTGTTTAAGCATAAAAGGATCTAGACATTTTTATCTTAATATATTTCATTAAGAAATATATATTTCAAGAAAATGTTGCACTCCTGACCAAGTTCCCTCTTGCAAGACGTTCTTTGTTTTATGATGGAAATACACACACACACACCCTTATAATAAGTATCATACAGAGAACACACATTTAATGCAGCTAACTAATCCAACATCATAGCCTAGCAGCACAGTCCATGGTTAACTGTACATTATGTAGTAGTGGTGTTGACCCTCAGAACTGAGTGGATGGCTGCCCCTGCTGAGCCACCATAAACAGTGGAGGCTTCTACTTTGTAAATCAATGGATTATCTTAGAATCTTAACAGGCATTTAACCAAGAGACCATTCCAAGTAGAAAGATTTCCCTTCATCATAAGACAGTTTGGGAAAAGATTTCTCATGAAATTCTTTGATATATCTGCTGTCTCAATAACAACAACTAAAAAGTTTGAAAATCAATTATTTCAAGTACTTAGAAAATGAAGATGTCCTCCATTTGGCAGGACATAACTTAGAATCTGTCATTCCTGATTCTGCTCTCCTTCTTTCTAATCCACAATTCGTTAGTTTTTCACCTGAAAATCCCTGATGCCCATTCACTTTTCTTCTTTCCATATGTCTGTGGTTGCTCCTTTCACCACCAAAGTTCCCTGCAGTCAGAGAAGGAGCACCTGCACAAGGGCAGCTGGAAAGGCACGCAGACAAGTGGGTTCGGTCTGAAAGCAATAGGACTTGACTGACGATGGGGTAGCTGCAGACAGCTCTGCTAGCCACTGCCTATCTTTGCTGTAAACAAGGACTCTCTCCTTGCGAGTTTCCTCTCTCTAGAATGGGAAAGAGAACACTAACCAATTCCTGAGACTGCTGTGCCAATGAAGTGAGTCAACACATGTGAGTCGGGGGTGGGCATTGACCTAGCACTTGAAGAGACGCTAGTTAGCACACCCACAAGGCCACACTGGGACTCCTGGGGTGGTTCCCTGCCTGTGGCTCCTGTTAATAAACCCTCTGAGGTGACAGTGATGGCTGGAGGGATGGAGTTCCTGCCAGCCCACACAGGAAACCTGGGCTGAGAGCCTGCCTCCCAACTATGGCTTGCTATGGCCATTGCAGCCACTTGGGCCACAAACCAGTGCATGGGAGTTCTTGCCTATATGTCTTTGTCTCTTTGTCTTTAATATAAAACAAACAAATAAATGCTATAGAAAATAATTGCACCAGAAACACTAATGCATCTATGGCACAAAAATCAGAGGCAGGAATATAATAACTTTAGCTACTGTGATTCTCACCCATGTGACCCAAACTTTCCAGGCTCCAATATGCATATCAAGGCCACCAGCAATGTTGTTCATCAAGGAGCTACCAAATTAAACGTCTCTTTTCCTCCATGGTAAATTTTATCAAGGAAAAATCAAGTCTGTTCTTCTAGCACAGTACTCAGCAAAGGAAAACACTGGAATATTTGTTAAGCACATCTGAGCAGTAGAGCAATGACAGCAGTGGTTTGCAAACTACAGCTTTGGATGAATTCAGAAATTTGCATGAATGTTTCCTGTCTGCTACAATTCTCTTCCGATTGCATTGGGTAATACAATCACCAAAAACACTTTCAAATATGCCCATGCCAAAGCCTCACAGCGGCCAATTTCATGGGTACAATGGGGTCATCTAGGGCCCATCTATAAGAATCTCCAAATCTCAACCAGAAGCCAGAATGACAGCTCCAGCGCTGGTCACACCCGCTTCCGTGCAAACGCAAACACATGGAAGCCAACCTTCGCTTCTGAACTTGGCCAAGAACAAGACAGTTCGCTTGGCCCAAGGTGAGCCAGGTTTTTGAAGCTTCTCTTGGGCCAATCTGCTCCTGCTAAATCCTGTCTCAGAAGAGAAGCCCGCAAAGTTAATGTGGCCAGCTGGCGTCATCCCCAGCAGCTCCTCAGGCACCTCACCCACCGCCACCTCCCAGATGACTCCTGAAGGCCTGTCCTCGGTAGAATCCTGCTGGGTCGATCAAGTCAGAAAGCTCCTTCTCCTGCTCTTTTCTCCTGGTAATTTTTCCTCTAGTCACCTCGTCCCGCTCCTTGGCAGCCCGATCTGCGCAGGTCCCCAGGCTCTTGGTGCTGATGCTGAACCAAGTCTTTCTTACCAAGGTTTAACAAACATTGAGTAACTTTTTCTTCAACACCCCCCACCCACCCACCTTGGAATGTTCCCTTCCGTATTTCGATAATGGGAAAAGAAAAATATGTTGGAAGCAGCAACTTTCTGGGAAGGATGTTGGCTGATAGTTTGGACTACAGGGTTCCCGCTGTACAGATCAAGACAATTCTGGCGTCAAACCTGTTGGGTGACTTCAGGCCCAGGCAGGCTCGGAGCCCCCCCTCATTCAAGGGCATTTCCGTCCCTAGAGGGCGAGCGCAAAGGATCGGGAACCTCTCGAGCAGGCTTTTATTCCCTTCAAATGGCATGGCAGAATTTTCTACAGTTAAGAAGCGGAGGTTGCTTTAAAGGCTGAACCCTGGCGCTGCCCCCGTGGTCCCGAAATTATTTCTTTCCTACCCTCCTTCAGCTCCACCACCACCACCCTCCCAGGCCACTTTCCTCGATCCATTCGCTCCCGTTCTCTCCCCTCTCCTACCCCAAACCTTGGACTAAAGTGTGAGCCGTGCATTGCAGACTGCCCTTCCTGAAAGCACCGCGGGGCTCCCCTGCCTCGGAAGGCCGAGCCGGACAGCCAGACTACAGCCAAGTTTCCCCCCACACGCCTTAAGGGAAGGCAGAGGTGACTCCCGGTCGGTTCGCAGGAGAGGGAGGCACACGTGTTGATCCGCCGCAGGTCAGGGGGCCCGGGACGCTCCAGGAGCCTCCGAAGGCCAGTTCCGGCAGGAAGCCCCTCGCTTGGCCCAGAGTCCCCTGGGTCTCCAGCTGAGCCACCACCTGGGTGCGTCCCTCTAATCGGCCTACTTGGGCGATGGGGACAGAGACCCCACGACCCCCGGACAACAGGAGTCGCACTCCCTCCCTCCGACCCCGGGAGGCAAAGGGAGCGAAACCGATCTTAGACCTGGAACAACAGGTCCTGCGTGCCACCTACTAGGTTGGGGAGGTGACGTGGGGGAGAGGATTGTAAGGGGAACTGAAGGGGGTGGGAGAGTGATTGGCTGCCGAACGGGCCAGGGCATTCCGCAGGCGCATTGCCTTGCCCAGGGGCCTCTCCACTTAACAGATCCCCAATCCTACAGCAAACCCTGAGTTTGGAGAGCATCCGTTAATCCCGAAGGCGCGGACAGTAGCGGGAGTTTTGCACGAGACGGAAACCAAGCCTGCCTTTGGGAGAGCTAAATTAGGTGAGGCAGGAAAGCCGCCTCAAAGCTCTCCTCAGCACGCAACCCTCCCAAGGCGGTCGGCGACCACTCACCTTGTGCCTGCGCCTCCATGGTGGCCGACTTCGAACTGAGTGCAGCGGGGACGCGGGGCAGACGCCAGCAGTGCCGAGGCTCGGGACGCAGCTGGCCCTGCCGCGGGCGCCCTCTCCAGACGCCCGTGTTGCCGCGGTAGCGTGGACTGCAAGCGCGACCGGAGGCGGACACCGCTGGCAGTTTCTGGTTACCTCCTCCTCATCCAGTCCACCTGGCCTGCACAGCTCTGGAAGACGCCACCTGCCGGCCGCTCTGCAAGGCGGAAGGCGTCCAGGTCCAACCCTCTAAATGCCCGACCCAGGGCGTGTCGGCGGCGCACAGGTGAGCATGACAGGGATTAACTCCCTGGGAGAGAGGAGAAAGGCGTGAGTTTACAAGGCTGCACCATTGCTCCTCGGGGGGGGAAAAAGAGTTCCTTCAAACCTTGCCCCAACACTTGACAAGTGATCAATACTTTATCTTGGTTTATGTATACAACCTTTTAAATACACCGTTTTTGTGCATATTTTCATTCAGTGACATTGAGCGCCAGAACGGATACTAAAGTTTCAGATGATTTAACACACACATTTTCTGAGTCCCATCATAGCCGTCTTGCACCGATGAACACCAGACAGCACTACAACCTTATGGTTGGAGAAATTTTACACACAGAATTCCCAAGGCACACACAAAAAGTCCATAGGCTGGAAAAGGGGTCCTTGTTTGTAGCATTGAAGCTGAAACAAGAAGGCAAAGCCACTGTGTTGGAACTTAGTCAAAATCTCATGCGTCTTTGGGAGCTTGGTTCAAATCTTCCAATCACAATGAAAACACAGTATTAATTTGGGGGTTACAATCACATTTTCATGTAGGGCAAACATTCAGCGCCATGGCTAATATGCCACTTGGTCTCTGCTTTTCCTGCACTGCCTGCTCCATGCACCTTAGGAGGCTGTAGGTGATGCTGAAGGAGTTGTCAGGTACTTATCACTCATGGAGAAGGCCTCCATTATGCTCCATGCCCTGCTGTGGGCCTGGCCCACGCCCGGCTGTAGTGGGCTGACTTTGCTTTTCAAACACCACCCAAACAAACAAAATGAATTAGTTAGTGGGAAAAAAAATGGAATTAAGAAATTAAGTTTGGTGAAAAGTTGTTTTAAAATGTAGACAGATTTTTTTATACCACCCACTTTCCACAAGTACATATCAATAGTTTTATGTAAGTATATAACAGTAATATTAATATATGATGTTTTAATACATATATGCACACATTTTTATCATACATACATTTTTTAAATTCAGGACCCTCATGCCATACTCGTGGTTTAATGAGGCAGTCATGTTTTCAGAGAAACCCCAGCCCTGTTCCAACACTTCCCTATATTTACCTACCTCAGACTGGCAACAAGAGATAAAAGAAGGTTTCTTTGAGGATGTTTGCCTTAGAGAGTGTTGAAGGATGAGGCAAGCATGGCAAGGAGTAAGAATTACCAGTTCAGTGCTAGGCAATGTGGTACAACAGGCTAAATCATCATGCAGGACAGTCAAATTCCAGATGACAGGGCTACTTCAATTCCAGCCTTCTGCTTCCTATCCAGCTTTGTGCTGGTGTCCTGGGAAGACACTGCAAGAGGGCCCTTCTGCTTCCTGTGTCCTGGGAAGACACTGCATGATGGCCCTTCTGCTTCCTGTGTCCTGGGAAGTCACTGCACGAGGGCCCTTCTGCTTCCTGTGTCCTGGGAAGTCACTGCACGAGGGCCCTTCTGCTTCCTGTGTCCTGGGAAGTCACTGCACGAGGGCCCTTCTGCTTCCTGTGTCCTGGGAAGACACTGCTTGATGGCCCAACTGCTTGGGCCCCTGCCACATGGGGGGCAGTCTACGATAGAGTCCCTGGCTGCTATCTTTGGGCTAGTCTAGCACTGGCTTCTGTGAGCATTTAGAGAGTGGACAAGACTAGCAGATGGAAGATATTTCTCACTGTTTTTTCTCTTTGTCTTTTAAATAAAGAATCTATAGGGGGGAAAAAGAATCATCAGCTGCTGACTCACTTCTTTCCTTCTGTAACTATTTCAGATCATACTTTTTCTTAACATCCGCTCAAATGTCACCTGTAAAAAAAATGAGAGACCTTTACAAAGCTCATAGGAAATATGTATTCTGAAACAACCATTCATGCATTTCAGTATTTTTTGAACCAATCTAAGCATATTTGATTTATTTTTCTACAGTTTTTTAAAGTAACATTCTGTAATGTAGTAGTATTTGTCTACATTTAAATAGCTTAAATATACTTAAATAGGTTGACACTCTGTGGATTCTTTTATTTTCTTTTTCTTTCTTAACCTGGATGATAAACCTTGTTGGAGTTGACTATTGGTGTTGTATTGAGCCTCCTCTAAGTTCTATCAAAGGATCTCATACGAATTCACAACACAGGAAAGATCTATTGAATTAACAATGAACTATCCAGTAGGTTATATTTTATCCATGCTTCAGTTACTGTCGAAGTATAGACTAATAAATGGTGAACTCTTACACTTTCCCTTAAAACAAGAAATACTCATGGTTCCCTGGCACTTGTATAACCAAGTTGCTGTTTTTAATTCTGTTCAAGATGCCATCCGTTGCCCTACAGAACACCAAGGTCTTTTAGATAACTTTCAGTGGTGGTGACCAGGCATGTCCAAAGTCACCCATGAATAAGTGAACCATTTTTACAGTCTGTGCAGTTGTTCTGGTCATCACCAGCCCAGAAATTAAACATCAAGTTAGGACTGACTCCTGGCTGTTGAAATGAACCAAAAATAGTTGATGACGTTCTAGTTTGAGTCATCTAACCTTCATCTCCACTGACTCATTTTTCTGATTCATAAATATTAAGCCTCAACCCCTTTAATGCCTTTTTTTATTATTAAAATAATAAGATGCTAGTGTTCATTCATGGATAATGAACATCTTCTGTGTGTATTATGTCCCAGGGGCTGTGCGTGATGTTAAGGGTACAGTTAAAAGGAGATTTTTTTTTTTTATGCGGAAAGCTCATGATCTGATGAGAAACAGATTGTTTAGCAGTGTGGCCAGTGCTATGCCAGAGGTAAGCCCAGCCATTGAGCACACTGAGTAAGGCATCCTTCAGATTGGCTAGAAGAAATAAGGACTTTATCTTTGAGGATGTTTGCTGAATCTGGGAGGATAAAGGAATTAGGTCAGTTTGGATAGGCTCCCAACAATGCCTTAGCCAAGGGAGATTATACTGAAGCAAACATATTATAAAAGGAAGGTTTGAAATTTTGGATCCTTCCTTTCCCTGACCACGTACGATGGTAAATTAGCTTGAATCCTTTAGAGGGTTCTCCAACAGCCACCTTTATCCCCCTGTTCTTGATCTCTATAGCTCCTCCTCAAGCAGCTTGGGTTTGGCCAAATCAGTGGCTTCAGATTCACTCAAAAGCTGATCTTCCTGCACAGGTGAGAACTCACTAGACCCCTTTAGTGTCTAAAGGAACAGTGTTGTCTACAGTCTTTGTCTAAAGCAGCTCCAGGTCACGTGTCATGTTCTGTGTTGAGGGTAGCCCTTGGGAATTGGCCAGCATGCAAAAAATGAAAGGATGGAATAAGAAAGGACACAGAAAGTATGCCCTCTGGTCATGGGGCCTTACAGAAACTTTGGAAGAGGCTTTGGACTTTGGTACTCCAGTAGATTCGCACTAGAAAAATTATTAGCTATGTCACCTAAAACAAGCTTCCCCTCATCCCTGTTCCTGGTAGCAGGATGCTAAACAAGATGCTAACTGAGATGTTCTTTCCATCCTGTCCTGTTGGGATTTGCACCAATGGCTCCTAGCTGCCCGGTGCATCATCACTACATGAATGAGTTTTGAATTTAATTAGTTTGGTTGAAAGTCAACTAGGTAACACTGATGTGGTCCTAAGACTGAGAATAACTGATTTAGAAACTGTCTACAGCAAAGATGAAAAGTACCAAATTCTCAGCTTTTAAATTCAAGAGTTGTCACCCAGTAAATAGGAAATAATTAAAAAGAAATGTGAGATGATAGAACCTGGACTTTTGCTCCTAATTGCAGGGGAGTTGAGATGAGAAGAGACATGATGAAAATGGAGAAAATTGAAAGAGAGATTTGACATGAATCTGTCTTTATTTCCCACTCTTCCCCAATCCGCCAAAGCAAAAAAAGACCTAGCCCTTGCTGTTATATTGGGAACTTTGATAAGATCTGGAAATATTAGGGACAGAATTATTGTGCACTGTCACTTTGAGGTTCCCCCCTCTTCAAATGGCGTAGGAAAACATCTAGGAATTTCCATGAATCCTATGTGAGATATGAAAGTTAGAGAAAGCTGGCTAGGGATTCAACAGCCCTAGAAGGCCGAAGGAGATTGTACCTCCTGAATCCATGGGAAGAAAGCAGTGCAACAGAATTGTGCATGGAGAGCATAGGGGTACACATATGGAGGGTTAGTGGCTATGCTAGGCCTCTACCTAGCCACGGGACTGACTAAACCTAACCCTGCCCACATTAAACTGCTAAGCAGAGCAAAAAGGAATGGAGAGATGTTGCTTGGTTACAAAGAACCAGAAGTTATCTGCCCTTCCTATAAATTCCCAGCTCTTTGGAGGACTGAAAAGTAGAGTCTACTAGCCAAAGCATTGGTTGTGGAGCCCAAGAGAGACAAGAAAGCTGCAATCCTTTTGAGACTTCTGAACAGAAAGCCAAAGATGAAATGGCCTTCAGCAGTGATTTGCAGCTAGGATCCACCAGGGCCTTGGGAAGCAAGTTCAACTTTATCCATATACCAGGGAGCCTTTCAGAATAGTTTTTATTCCTCTCAACCTCCACCCCATGTGCTTGGCCAAGAGTAGCTATTACTTAAAAGAGAGAGAATGTACTAGCACTCTAAAACTCAGGGTAGTTCAGTCACAACGCTTCCTCTATCACACACGTTGTCCAAGCAGTACTGAGAGGAGGGGAAAAGAGCTTTACTTCGGTGTTGGGAAGTCTAAGTCCTACTGATCACATATAAAACTAACACTATTCTCATTACAACAACTAATGAAAATGAATCTGGCTGAGTTGTCTGAAAGAAGACTACTATGACTCCTGCT